TGAGGAGAGAAATACTGATGGGTTGGATAAAGAAGCCAGGTGTGTCCTGGGCTAGAAGAGAGGGTGTTGAAACCTTGAACTGTGCTTGACCTCACTGCTCTCAGCTGTGTCTGGTTACTTTTCAGGTGAATAAGGAAAAGTGATCACCCTCCATTGCAGCGAGGTGGAAGCTCAGAGAAACAGGGGAACTAGACAAAGGGACAGAGCAGTTCCACATCCTCTGCACTAAGTCCCAGACAATCCTCTTGTCTTGCAGCACCCTCTCTGTTCTCCCTGAGAGCAGCAGAAATGCTGTGGGTTTCTGACATACCAGAATGTTCTCCAGGAGAGGTGGAAGGAGTTGTAAAGAACCCTGGAACTCTTAAAGAGTGCCTTCTCCATCCCCTTGCAGAAGCTGGCGTGCCCTTCTGCGTGCAAAGTGGTTTCAAAAGATGAAGTCAAATCCCAGGAGGAGTCCTCGCTCCCAGTGAGGGCTGCAGAGCAGGTCTTACTGACCGAGAGCCCCTGGGCGGATCCCTGCTTCTCATCACATAATGGGCCAACATCAAGCAAGACCCCAGCCATGGAGTTGAAAGAAGGTCTCCTGGAAAATGAAGGGGTGTCTGTGTGAGAGGGATAGAGTCTGTGGGAAATGGCTTTGATTTTTCCCAGAGAAATCTTTGTTAACTTGTCAATGTCTTTTTCTCCAAAGGAAGTGCCCCATGGCCAGAGGTAGCAAATGTCCAACAGCATCTCCACCAGCCAGTTTCTCCTCCTGCCATTCACAGACACATGGCAGCTGCAGCTCTTGCACTTCTGGCTCTTCCTGGGCATCTACCTGGCTGCCCTCCTGGGCAACGGCCTCATCATCACCACCATCGCCTGGGACCACCACCTCCACACCCCCATGTACTTCTTCCTCCTCAACCTCTCTGTTCTCGACCTGGGCTCCATCTCCACCACTGTCCCCAAAGCCATGGCCAATTCCCTCACGGACAACAGGAGCATCTCCTACCTAGGATGTGCTACCCAGCTCTTTTTCTTTGCCTTCATGCTTGGAGCAGAGATTTGTCTCCTCACCATCATGGCCTATGACCGCTACGTGGCCATCTGCCAACCCCTGCACTACGGGACCCTCCTGGGCAGCAGAACTTGTGCCCACATGGCAGCAGCTGCCTGGGTCAGTGGGTTTCTCAATGCTCTCCTGCACATGGCCAGTACATTTTCAGTGCCCCTGTGCCAGGGCAATGCTGTGGGACAGTTCTTTTGTGAAATCCCACACATCCTCAAGCTCTTCTGCTCACACTTACACTACCTCAGGGAAGTTGGGCTTGTTGTGGTTAGTACTTTTCCATTTTTGGGATGTTTTGTTTTCATACTGTTGTCCTATGTTGTGATCTTCAGGGCCATGCTGAGGATCTCCTCACAGCAGGGACGGCACAAAGCCTTCTCCACGTGCCTCCCTCACCTGGCTGTGGTCTCCCTGTTTGTGACCACTGGCACCTTTGCCTACCTGAAGCCCCCCTCCATCTCTTCCCCATCCCTGGACCTGGTGGTATCAGTTCTATACTCAGTGGTGCCTCCAGCAGTGAACCCCCTCATCTATAGCCTGAGGAACCAGGAGCACAAGGATGCCCTCAGGAAAATGATCACCACGTATTTTTCTAATGCAATAGCCTGATTATTTTATTCTGCATAACAGATATATTGTAGCTCACTGCAGGCCCAGCCTTTTGTCCTGGGTTTAGCTAAAAACCCAGTTCTTTTTAGTGATTTTTACTTTCCAGTTCAGTGTCTTCTAAAAGGCTGCACTTTCTGAAGTTCGCAGCATGCTTTTGCAGACAGTGTGTGCTATTGCCAGTGATAATACCTGATGTTTATAGTTACTGCCTGGGACCGGGATGCAGAAAGGCTCTTACTTTTACTTATTCCAACAGCGCCCAAGGCAACTGCTGGCTCTTGTGTGCCTCGCTGGGGGTACCGGGAACTAAGAGGTGTCCCAAGGAAGTGAAATGTTGCACCTATGGGGGTGTAATAAACAAGACAGGTGACCAATGAGAGTAATTCATCCCATGTACGTCATATTTAGTGTAAATTGAGTGATCACGAGAGTTTCGGCCCTTTTCTCCAAAGGCCGGTGTCCAGGGAGGTCTCCATCCGATCTCCTGCTTTTGATCCGATCCTGAGTTCCCGAATCCAGCTCCCTGTATCCAGCTCCCACTGTCGCTGAGCCTGGGACTTCCCCAGTGCCTCCTGCTCTGCAGCATCAGTGGGGATTGCTATCGGGGGAGGGAGTAGGGTTTCATATCGGGCTACTATCTATAGTTGTATATAGTGCTTTACTTTTATCTTTTCAACGTTATCTATTGCTTAATTTAAAATGTTTGTTTCATTAAAGTTGTTCTAGTTTTTATTCTCTAATCCATAAGTCTGTCTGCTTTGTTCCCTTTTCGTTCCTGTTTGGGGGGGGGAAGAGGGGGTTAGAGAGCATCTCTCCGTGTTAGTGGCTGGCCCAGCCCTGACCCGCGACACCTGATTTCTATTATTTTTTATTGTTGTTGACGTTTTCTTACATCTGATAATGTTTTCAGGCTCTTTCTAATTCAGTGTCTTCTTTTTTCTCTTTCTTTGTGCTGAGGGGAAGGGGAGAAGAGTCCCGGCACAGCAGCACGGCGGGGGAGCACCAGCGCTTGGTGTCTCCAGAGCTGCTCTCTCCACTCCCACCCTCTCCTCCTGATCCCCTGTGTTGGGGTTAGGCCTGAGGGCTCTGGCAGCTTGGTCCCCATCCTGTGGTGTGGTTGTGGTGTGACCACAGGCAGGGACAGCCCACAGGCTCTTCTCTGACACAAGTGCTCTCATAACAGGGTATGTCCTTTGGGCAAGGCCTGAAGGTTCAGATCTTCCAAAGCAGATGGCAAAAACATGCCCAAGAAAGGGGCCCACACGTTAAAACACCAGTGAAAAGCTCCACAGTGTGACTCCCAGACAGTTCTCCTGGCAGAAAACGGAAGGACCAGCAGAGGAGGTCCTGCTCTGTGCTGCCATGGATGGGCTCAGGCTTTTCGGGAGAGACAAGCTGGAAGGTTCCGGACTGGAGTTCCCTCAAAATGTTTGGGTTA